AGCAAAGCGACGTAAATTACGTGGACTTGACAAACTCTTGTTTATTATGAAAAACATACGAAATTCAATAACTCTGCAGTTTTACGAAAGAATGCATTTGTGTTTTTGAAACAGCGTTAACCAATTGGTCTTTGCAATGGTGAAGTGTATAGGAATTGGAGTTAATTACTACTGTTAATTGTTCAGACTAACGTATCAACTAATTAATGTTGTCAATATGTTTTAACGAAGTTCTACATGAAATGTATCTTGTAAGTTGCATGTCTGCTTTATAATTTAAGACATTAAAATGCCATCACACTTTCAAAACATGCACGATATATTAAGATTCATTATGCCTAAAGATCAATCAACTGACGAAAGTCCTTTCTACGGAATTGGTACCTTCGAGAAGAGAGAAAAAACTGAACAAGTCTGTCAACTGATTTCTATTCCTTTCATGTAAACAGTCAGTGAAAGTCTATAGTACCATGTTACCATAATATAATACTCGAGTGGCTTAAAAAGCTATGTTCCCAACGTTTCGGCTAATCGAGATGTTTCTTAAACTGATTAAATATACACAGTTACGGCTATTACTATGATATAACAAAGCAACGTAAATTACGTGGACTTAACAAACGTTAAACACATGTTAAAACATAAATATGAGATTCGTGATTAATAAAACTCTCTTGAATTGTTAGAGCAAAGACATTGTGAATCGTACAAATAATGCGTACGGAGAAATAAGAACTGCGGATATATGAAGTGTATAGGAATTGGAGTTAATTACTACTGTTAATTGTTCAGACTAACGTATCAACTAATTAATGTTGTCAATATGTTTTAACGAAGTTCTACATGAAATGTATCTTGTAAGTTGCATGTCTGCTTTATAATTTAAGACATTAAAATGCCATCACACTTTCAAAACATGCACGATATATTAAGATTCATAATGCCTAAAGACAATGATCCTTAACTTTCAAGAGTTTTAGGACGTTAGATATCTACGGAATTGGTACCTTCGAGAAGAGAGAAAAAACTGAACAAGTCTGTCAACTGATTTCTATTCCTTTCATGTAAACAGTCAGTGAAAGTCTATAGTACCATGTTACCATAATATAATACTCGAGTGGCTTAAAAAGCTATGTTCCCAACGTTTCGGATAATCGAGATGTTTCTTAAACTGATTAAATATACACAGTTACGGCTATTACTATGATATAACAAAGCAACGTAAATTACGTGGACTTAACAAACGTTAAACACATGTTAAAACATAAATATGAGATTCGTGATTAATAAAACTCTCTTGAATTGTTAGAGCAAAGACATTGTGAATCGTACAAATAATGCGTACGGAGAAATAAGAACTGCGGATATATAGAATTTTGGTTCAGAAGCCCCTCGGAATGACAGCAACTTCGTCATAGACGTGGTTTTTCCGAAAAAAAATTATCTGCGCGAAGGTATGAACACGATTTGTCAGGACAGCTTCCAAAAATAAGATCTGATTTCAGAAACGATATAAAAATTTGAACCTTGCAGTCAAATGATCCTTAACTTTCAAGAGTTTTAGGACGTTAGATACCTGTTCCTTCTACAAAACTGCAAAAATCTTACTCTTTTAATATTGTATCTGTGGTTTGACAGTTACTTGTTATCTTTGACCACTTTGTGCGTAATCATTTCTTTAGGCACTATCTAGTCTTTCGTTATTGCCAACAAAACTCCACAGATAAATAAATGAGGTAAGATGGATGCTTACGAAGGATAGGCAGTGATGTTTCAATACATCGTGACGTATTACAGCCATGAGAAAACTGCTAGGATTAGCTGGTCGCTTAACTACAGCAGGGCAATGTCCTTCGTGAGCGATAAGAAGCGAGCTGTATAAGCAGCCTTGGGTGTCATATGACATAAGGTAATCGCTTGTTGTGTCCTACGTGAGAGAAACACACGGCCTTCCTGCGCATGCGCAAGAGCTTTCTTGCGCATGCGCCTTACTGGCCAGCGCAGCGACTCACGCGAAAATATCAAAATATTTGATCTGATCGCTTCGCTGTAACCTAGGACAGCGCCACACAAACACCCAGTCTGATATTTCCGCTTCACCAACGCACTTTTCGTTTCGGTTTCTTATTTTCTTCGATAATGTTGATCATCGACATAAAGGCTGTGTCACGTGACCTGCGCGCAGCTTGTCAGAGGAGCAGTGGAGTATGTGCTCCAACAGTTGGATAACTGACTTGATATCAGAACAGGTAACCTGCTGGGAGCATGGAGGAACCAATGTCCACAAGAGATTCATCCCTGTCTTTAATTGGCATTCGTCGTGTAAGTACATGAGCATTAGGATGTATTTGATGTGTTTGTCTTATGAGAGACTTAAGTCTGACCATTATTATATGTGGTACTCTAAATGAATACAGTGGCATTTGTAACCTTCGTATATTTTGTGGTGTGGTGCTCTGATTTCGAATAACACCATATTTGTGGGAAGAAAAGTGATTTTTATGGACAATATTAGGATGTGGTGTGGAATAATGTCAGTCCGCATGGCTAATAGGCTAATGGTTTTGAGATATATTAACAAATATTATTAGGCGGTTGAAATGGGCAGTGAATGTCGCACAGTTAGGCGATCCAGTTGTACATGAGAGATGAATGATAAAATGGAACTTAAATAAACAGAAAGTTACGATGTGAACTGTATTCATCTGGCAAAGGGTGACAACATTTCGCTTAATTACCTCGAAGGTTGAGACTTTACGAATGAAATATTGGTTCGTTTCTCAAAACAACTTTTGCTAGAAAAGATTGTCAGTGAAACCACGGTTTCGGAGAATTAGACGTAAATACGTCTATACGGAAAGGAAGTTTATATATTGGCTTTATTCTAAATATTTCCTTTATAGATCCTTTACAATTGAGATAATTTTGATTAAGACATTGCTTATTTAACTTGAATTAGTTACGCTTAAGATGGGTCTGTGGTAGATGAATGTAATGTAAGGTAATGTTTTATAGGTAACAACAATGCCGAGTAAACAGATGTTCCTTAGGTAACCATTCTTGGTTATTTGTTGATAAACCATTGTTACACTTTTTCGTTCCACATTTTGCCGAATGACCCTTCCTTATAGACGTATTTACGTCAAAAATGTTTTGCTCACATAAATAATTACGATGAAGATGTGACCACAAATGCAACGCGCTGTATTTTAAATACTAGAGCAGGGCGCTCCTTTCGGAGTTCCTAGGGGGGGTTGGTCAAGTTTGTAAAAAGGAACCAACCTTGGTTAGTCCCGAAGGGGAGTTAGTTTAGTGTCTCATTCAAGTGTTTTAACCCCTGAGTAAGAAACTAAACTAACCACCCCGAATGGGGGGTTTAAACACTTGACCAAAACACCGAAGTGGGTTTTTTGCGTTTTAAAATCTTGAGTAAGACGCTAAACTAACCCCCGTGTATAAACAAATATAAGGTTATATTGTTGATGACGTCATTTTTTGACGACAACGACTACTAATCCTTTCGGAGCGCTTCCTGTAATCTGATATTTTACTTCTTTACGTCGCTGATCAGAGGCCAACAGTTCTTGGTTAGTCAACTTTCTACGTCCAACCCCACCCTTGCAAGTCTTCTT